TCCAGCCATTCAAATCAGTTCCTAGCTAGTTAGATTCAACTTCCAATCATCAATCATAAGTTTTACCACAAGAATCAAGAGTTAGGAAACTGGTTTACCCCAAATCCTTAATCATAACCCTAGCTGGCCGATTCTCTTGAAGCATGAAACACAGAAATTAATCCAACAATTCATCATATAACACAAACTTGGTCATCAATTCACCAAAAGAAACAAAATCAGTACAACTTCATGAGCTAAACCAACGTCCAGCTTTGGTGACTGAAACTTACTTGAGGAGATGTATCCTTGAGCTCCAACTCTCCAACAAAGTTCCCTTGGTTGGTTGCAAGCAAGGTTGGATGAACCCCAATGATTCTCTTTCTTTCTTTCTTTTTTTCCTTCCTTCTTTCTTCCCCTAGCTCACCCGATGCTGCCCTTCTTCTTCTCCAAGCTCACGGCAGCTTGTTCTTGGTGTTGGCTTTGTTTGTTTTGTCTTATGTCCTACTAACCTAATAGCTAAGTCTATTAATAGTAAAGCAAAACAAGAGATGGGTCATGGGCTTGGGTAATTAATGAGTTTATGGCTTAGGCTTCTAATGAAATTAAAACTTAAAGGCCCAACACTACAACTCTACTTGATCCAATGTAATTAACCCATTGGTTTACTAACTTAATATCCACTTAATGCACTAATTTAGTTTAATTAAAACTTAAGCACACTAACCCAAGGTACTAATCACTCGAACCCCCGTACTAAACATGCATGCATGCACATACAATCACGAAAATATTAATTGGTTGAATTTAATTTAAACTTAAAGGTTTAGTTTTGAAAATAGGATTTTAATGATTCAATTAAATGTTTCACTTTTGGTATGTAAAATACTCTTTGAAAATTAAAACACATGGTAAAATACATTTTTCACACAATAGCTACTATAATTATCCATATTTAATTTATTTGAGACCATTAGGAATCCAAGATCTCACATCCATAATGCACCTCAAACTTAACATGTACGCACTTATACTAGAAAAAAAAAGTGATTTAAAAACGATACTCACTTATAGAATCTCTGAAAATTAAATGATTAATTGATTGAAAGTAAGGAAAATACACGCTGAAAAATAAAATAGAATAAAATAAAATAAAACAAGGAGAATTTTGCGAGTCCTCACAATAAAGAAATTTGACTAATTTACAAACCTTATTTTCTTGTCTAGATACAACATAACCCTTAGGTTGAGACATATTTCTTTTCTGAAATCATAATTTAAAAAAGCTGTTTTAACATCCATCTAATGAACAAAAAAGCTAATGGATAGAAGACAAAGCGAATAAAATATGAATGGAGGAAATTCTTGTTACTGATGCAAATGTGTCAAAATTGTCATATTTAATTTTTGAGAAAATTCTTTTGCTACTAAATGAACATTGTATTTTTCTTTAAAGCCATCAGAATTAAATTTTTTTAAAAACAATTCATTTATAACCAATAAGTTTTGCACTAAGGGTAAATCTACCAAAGTCCAGGTTTTATTTTTCATAATAGAATCGATTTTAGATTTAATTACTTCTTTCCAAAATTTGTAATCAGAAGAAGAAATAGCATCAAAATAAGTTGAATCATCATTACCAACAAGATAAGTTTGAAAATTGTTTCCATAAGAAAATTCTTTTCTTGGCCTTTTAATCCTTCTCAATTCCTCATTAGAAGTTATTTCTCTATTTATTTTAGCAGGTGCATGAGAAATTTTATTAGACAGTGAAAAAATATATTCAAAAAACTCAGTATTCTTTGTTTTAATAATGGTGTTGCAATCAAGTATATTATTTCTTAAAACAAGAAACCTATATATAGCACTATGTTCAACATATCCATTAAACTTACAATCAAAAGTTTTAGAACCTAATTTTCTTTTTTTAGGTTTAGGTAATAACACTTTAGCAAGAGACCCTCATACTTTTAAATATTTTAAATTTAGTTTATAATTTTCCATAACTAATAAGGTTTTTTGCTAGTCTTTTTTTTTTATGTGAATTCCAATTTTGTACTTGACATGCAAATAATATAGTTTCTCTCCACAAATTATTGAGAGCATGAGAACTTACTAACATGAAATTCACCATTTCTTTTAGTGTTCTATTTTTCCTTTTAACTACCCTCTTAGATTCTAATGAATAAGAAGGTGTTATTTCATGTATTATGTCTTCATGTTCACAAAATTTGTCCAAGGCTAAATATTGACCCCCTCTGTCAGTTCTAATTCTTTTTATTTTCTTATTAAGTTGATTTTTTGCTTCAAACTTATAAGATAAAAAAGCATTATGAGTATTATCTTTATTTCTAAATAAGTACAGTTTGGTATATCTAGAATAATTATATATAAAAGTAACATAAAATCTTTTACCTCCTCTAGTCATAGTTTGTTATAAATCATCCAAGTTTGTGTAAATTAAATTTAATAATTCAATTTCTCTTTGGACAGATACCCAATTTTTCTTCATTACTTTAGTTTTTGCACATATTTCACATTTATCCACATTATTATTAATACCAAAAATTAGGCCACAGGATTGTATTTTCTTGATATAACTAATATTAACATGGCATAAAGAAATTGAATCAGCGATATAAGTAGTAAAAAAGGCATTTTCATTAATCACATAGAAAATGTTGAGTACAAAAAGTCTGTGGTCACAATAACCTTTGCCCACAAACACATTATTTTTTGTCATTACAATTTTGTCATATTTGAATGACACTTTCACCCCAACTTTTTCAAGTAAGGCTACAAAAATAAGATTTATCCAAATGTTTGGCGCATGCACTACATCATTAAAAACCAAAGTTTTTTCTAAAGTGAGTTTCAAGAGCACTTTGCCCTTACCCAGAATTTTAGTAATTTTGATTCTTCAAGGTAGGCCATCATCCTCTATTGGAGTATAAGAGGTAAATGTTTCTCGATTTACATATATGTGCTGAGTAGCCCCAAAGTCTACCATCCATTCTTTCACATTTGTTGCAATATTTACTTGAAAGATGACTGCAACAATTATTTCATTTCCTTCAATTAAATTAACCTTAAGAGAATTATCATTTGCTTTGTCACCTCTGTTTCTATATCTACGTCCTGATTTTCTACAAATGTAGCAATAGCCCCTCCTTTTCTTGAAGTTGGGGCTCTGTTTGAATGAGTAAATTTCTCAAAAACTATTTTTGTATTTGAAATATATAGTAGCACTTCAAATATAACTCCAAAAATAACTTTAAAAACACACATAATTTCAAATATATTTAAAATTAAATAAATAAAATAAACAAAAATTTTATACCCTCTTTCTTTTTTCACCCATCACCTCTACCCACCACCACCCACCACTGTCACCACTTCTCCCTTTCTCCATACTCCACCTCCCTCCACTACAAGAAAACGGGCTTTTTGCAACGCTTTTGCTGTGGCACAAGGAGAAAGTGCGGTAAATAAGCAGCAAATTTCAATTTGTGCTGCAAATTTCACAACGGTTCCTAATTTTTACATAAAAACGACATAGTTTTAATAAAACCCATAAAAGATAGTTTCCTAGCACAATCCACATATCGATCCCTTGTAAAAAGGTATCGATAAGCCCCCAAAAGCAGGAAGGGGTTTATCTTTTACAAATCCGAAAAGGAAAAAACAAAACTATGAACAATGGAGTGTTTAGGCGCATTGAAAATGATGACATGCCTGAAGGATCTAAGGAGAGATTTTGGGAAGATATTAAGGTATTTTGACTCACTATCAAAGTTAGCAACATTTTTTTTTCTTTTTATTTCATACAATCTTGTAGCTTGTGAATGTTTAAACTTTTGTTTTGTAATTTTTGATAGAGAAATACAAATATTGATGATACATACAAGAAAGTACAAATGATAAGGGTCAGCAAATTGTGGAGAAATTGGAAATCAAAAGTCAAGAGCATGTATTTCACTCCTTATAGGAGGCACAGGTCATGGCTATTAGCACACTGTCCTGCAAGAGTTGAGGAGGATCAATGGCCTATTTTGGTTGATTATTGGAGCTCAGAAGATGTCAAGGCATGTATTTATTGTCACATCTCTTTTGCTTTTGAATTAAATTCTAGTGCTATTATGATTTTGATGTGTTGTTAACTACATTTTTCTGTTTTGTACATAATTAGAAGCAAAGCAAGATTAATAGCAAGAATCGAAAAAAACAAAAGATGCCACATCGAACAGGGCGAAAAGATCATGTGAACCTCAGGGAAGAGGTATATTAAATTCTAATGCTTATGTTTCTAGCAATTTTTTCTGGAACATAGTCTTATTTAGAAATATTAACACTTTAGTTTGTACATTGAATATGTGGCAGCTTCGGATTAAAACTGGAAAAGAGCCTTCGAAACTAGACGTTTTTATTCATTCAAGACAAGGAAAACAAATGGATGAGTTGACTTCACAAACAATTGTAAGAATAGCTTTTAGTCACTTTTTATTGGTTTTACTTCATAAATAATTCTTTCTTCTGTCTGTTTTTCAATTTAGGCAACTATGAATGAGGAAATACAAAAACTGCCAGAGACATCCAGGGATGATAATTTTGTGAAAGATATACTCTATGAAAATATTCTTGGACCTGAAAAACCAGGTCGTCTTCGAACTTATGGGGTAGGTGCGACTCCAAAAGACGTGTATAGGATGTCAGATAACATGAATGCTGGACAAAAGAAAGCATTTGAGGATGCAGTGAATGAGAAAGTGGAAATCATACGTGGTGAACTACGAGAAGAAATGAATTCGAAATTGGCAGATTTTAAGGAGGAGTTGATTGCTCAATTTGAAGCAAGAATGGTTTGGGATAACTATTTGGTTAAATATTATAGTTTTTCTAATTTTTTTATTGCTTTAGTTACTATTGATCTTTGTTCCTCCAGAGGGCATCCACATGTAACTTGGCATCACTCCAAAGAAGAGAAATGAATGCAGCAAAACAATCTCAAATTTCGGACTCATTAGAGGTTGTATATTAATTCATACAATTCGATTTTGTGTTCAAACTCTCTGAAATATCAGCAGCTATGGCCTGATTTTCTTTTCTTCACACTTTGTTGATAATGTAACAGGTTGGTGATAGAATGAACAGGGAAGTTGGAACAAATGATGCTGAAATAAACAAGTGTGAAATGAATAAAAAAGTTTCTTCAATTGCTGATATTCTTGAGGTATAGTATGCGTACTTTGAGTTGGTCCTTCTATAGAAGACCAATTTTGCTGAGTTCCTTGTTGATATTGAATTTTGCATGACTTCCTTGTTGATGACTATTTGTGCGTGAGCTCCTTGTTGATATTTAATTGACTAGTCTTTTGTTATACCAGAACCATCATACAAAGAAGAAAAGGAGCAGGACTACTTGCAAACGACTTGCTTGAGGTACTGGAAAAGTTTCTGGAAATAACTCTATTCTGTCAAGTTTTCCATTGAGTATTTGTATGATTGGGAAGACGAGCTGTTTTTGTTAAGATTTAGCCAGCTATTTAGGGGACATAATGTAGTAGAAGTGGTCTTAATTTTCAGTATCTGTGAAAAGGTTGAATTACAAATTCCGTTTCAGTATCTATTGTTATATTAACGTTTTCTTCATGCTTAATGGGCTGGGGTTATATGAGCAGGGGACTAATAGAATACACTTTGCAGCCCTGGACTTGATGGTACATTGGAAGCATGCGGATTGGGAGATATGAAGATGTTTTTGAGAGATGTATGATGAAGTGCTGTACTTTTGAAGACAAGCACATTTTGGAATATATGAAACATCTTGTAATTGGAGCGAACAATATTAAATGATAAAGTTTGTAGAATTTGACTAAAACAATGTATGGTACTTTATTCTAGTGTATTGTGGAACTATATTTTGTTATAATATTCGATTTTAGGATATTTGAGCATGATAATTATTGTACCATGAAAAAATTGATTTCTGGTCTTTATATTGGTGACTTTTTTGCGACGCAAGTTTTTGTCGCATGACATTGTGGACATTTTGTAGCGCATTTTTTGTGCCGCAAGTAGAGTGGTGACACTCAAATTGGCGTCACAAAGAGTGATGCAAATGTATGCGACATGTTGAAAAATTGTGCCGTTTTCTTTTGTAACGGCTACTTTTGTGGCACAATTTAATTCTGTCGCATTTGTGCCGCAAAAAGGTTTTCGCGGCGGTTTTTGGACTTTTTGCAGCATATTTCTGGCGTCGTGAAAAGTCAGTTTTCTTGTAGTGCTCACTGCTGCACCACAGTGTCATCCCTCCCCTCTTCTCTCTTACCTCTTTTTCCCTCTTCCTCTCCCTTCCCTTTCTTTCTCATCCCTCATCCTCCCTTCCCCGTTGTCCCTCCCCTCCCCTCAATTTCCACAAATTCACGCACAGAAAGCAAAAGCAAAAGAAAATATGAGGCTTAGATTTATTATAATAAATGGACAAGGAGAAAGTGTACCACCATGGCTGCAAAATCTGGTTGCATGGAGGAAGAGAAAATCCACGTAAGCTTTTTCCCAATTTTGCCTTCTGGTTGCCCTATCAAGCTTTGAGCCACTTTTCTCAATGCCAGAGAAATCATCAATCATCATAGCCTCAAATTCAATCCCCTTTTCTTTTCTTGGTAGGTGTAGTGCGTTAATCCTCAAGGTTAAATATACAGAATCAAACTGAAAGACGATAGACATTGATGCCAAAATATGTGAAAGCAAAATGATCAAACTACCTAATATTTCTGTTGGAGTATGCTCGGCTGTTGGTATCGTGGCAGGACTGGAAAAGAAAATCATTGGCTCTATGGAGAGAAGCAACCACCCTTAACATGGTGATGCTGATGCTGATGGTTATGGTTGTCGTGGTAGTGGAGGAGGGTAAGTTTTTTTTTAAATTTTAAAAATACCACATTAAAATTGTAAATTTTAAAAATACATCAAAATATATTCTCAAAAACACCCTAAAAATACTCTCAAAAACACTTAACCATCTAAAGTAAAAAATTTTCACATATACAACTATAGTAAAATTTTTGAAATACATTATCAAAAACAACTAATCCAAACGAAATATGGGATTATTGGGCTTGTGACTTTGGGACTTGTTAGCGTGCTTTTATTATTTTTTTGTACCAGATTGACTTTGAGGGTCATGTCCTTAGTTTTGGCAGCTCTTAACTCCTTCCTGTTGGAATTTTCAATAATGATATATTTCACAAGTTCCTCAATGGTGTACTTCTTCTGCTTGTACTTGAGGTTATTTTTGTGACCAGTCTACGATTCTAGCAGCTTTTCAATTAGCATGCCTACAACAAATTTCTTGGGCAAATTGAAGTCTTCATTTTTCTAATCTTCAAGTAACATTTGCTACTCTATGATTTCAGCCTTCAATTAGTTGTAGTTGGTCATCTATCACTAGTAGTACTTTTCTACGATAAATTTTTGTTTGGTTGTGTTTTCGGTGGTAAACTTTATTATCAGAGTTTCCCAAATAGTTTTGCCTTCCCTGCAACTGGAGTATATGTCAAACAATTCATTAGAAAGTATTTGTAAAATAGTATATCGACATATTTTGTTGGCATATTGCCATGACTCTTGTGATTTAGCATCCGTAGTTGCAGCAGATTGAGCATCAATTAGTGCATAAGTAGTTCCAAGGATGTCGAGCAATGACTGTACACGTTCTTGCCATTTATTTGAAGTTTTCATTAGCGAAAACTTCAATCTTAGAGGCGCCTGGAAAAGGCTTAGCGAGTGGCAGTGTGACTACAACTAATGCTGATGATTGAGGCCATGTGCTAACATTGTCGGAGACCATGGTTTCATAGATTATTGAAAAATAATTCGAACAATGCTAACAAAATTGGAGACGGAATTTGAACAAGGTTGAGTCATGCTAAATAGTACCGTTCTAAAAAATTATTAAGAAAATTGAAATGTTTCCTCAAAATTAAAAAAACCTTCTTCTTATAAACAAGAAAGAACAAAAACAACATGTATTGAATAAGTCCAGCAAAGAAGATAAGAAGAAGAAAGAAAGAATGAGCTGTCTGGAAAGTTTAACTGAGTTTCGTGTTGCGAGCGTACTTTCTAAATTAGAAGTGCTGGTATTTATAGATCTCAAGAGCATTACGTTGCAAAATGGATAAAATACTGGCTGGTATTTATAGATCTCAAGAAAGACACCATTGGAAAACGTGCAGGGGAGGGCACTGGATAGTCTCCCAATTCAACTTCCTACACTAGTTACCAACTGAATACAATCCAATAAGAAGCTAAACCTTATAAAATGATTATAAATCTCTTTGGTTTTCCAATGTGGAACAATACCTTTTGAAATACTCAATTATTTACGACAGAAAAGGCAGGAAACGAAAGCAATTCTTGACTGCTATATAGTGTGAGTTCAAGCCTTGCCCATAAATTATAGATGCGTTTACCCCAATGCCAAGCCAATCTATGTTCCCAACTTCAGCTTAAGGATAGACCAAATTATTTGATAGTTGAATTATGGTTAGTTGTGTAAGACTACGCTTGAGTTTGATTTGATAATTAACCAAATTTGATTTAAATTTGGCTCAATTAGCACACGATTTGAAACCTTCATCTAAGAAATTCAAATTATTCGAGTTTCATTGGAATTCGACTTAATAAAAAGTTTTTTGAATTTGGTTTGTCAATAAACAAATCAAATTTAAATACAATTTCAAACTTATTAACATAAATAAAAAGGTTTGAACGTTAACCTTTTGGTTTTGTTAGCCCCGTTCACACCCTGAGCTAAACCCAATCTTCGAAACACTTCAATGTTCCATCCTAACTAAAAAGCCAAACAGGCATGTGAGGGTCCAGCCCAAAACATGTTCATCCTTTTATAAGTTATCTATATACTAGTTTTTCAGCCCTGACGCCATGCGTCAGGTAGTTGAGACTCATTATTTTGCTGTTATATTTTTTGTATTTTTTTCTTTGTTAGATACAGTAGTCATGTGTGTGAGTGTGTGTTCTTTCCTAATTGCACAAATAAACATGGTTTTGAAATCAGGTTATCTTATATTCTTCATATAGCATTAATCTGTAAGTAATGCCTAAAATTAGACAGAACTAAAAGGCATGATTATTTAACATTTTTACTATAGCATTAATCAGTAAATAATGCCTAAAATTAGGTAGAACTAAAAGGCATATGGCTATACATGTAATGTGTAGCCTTGCTTATTAGTCACGTTGCTTCTCTAAGACAAGCAATTTGACAATTTCCATTTTTTTTTTTGACACTTTCTATTTGCTAGTACTTCACATTTAACAATCTTTGAGAAGAAAGAAATAAAGAAAGACAATTATAAAATGGGTTTGTCATTTTCTTTTGTTTGCTAGACTTGAATGAGCATTCAAACATATATTAAAAATATTTTCAAACCAATGTAAAATTGAATTAATCTTTTTTGTATATTCAGTTGCTTTTTTGTTTTACATTAATAGGTCTATGTTCATGATACATAATTTTTATTCAACTCTATCCCACTATGACCTTGGTTTATATATACTACCATGTCTCCTAATCAGGGTTTCATATTGGACCTTTTTGTTGTAATTCAGATGATTGTTTAATTGATAGATTAAAAGTGTTCAAGAATGGAGGGAGCAACAATGGTTTCTTTGAACAGGACATCATCCATTGAAAATGAGTCTAATAATTTCGTGAGCTTAAAATTTTCTTTTCTACTTTCTAGGTTCTTGGGATCTATAATTCTTACTTATTTGATGATTCTTTCTCTTACTTGGCTGATGATTTTTTTTTTTTTGTAATCTGTACCATAAACTGCAAAATTATAGGTTATTTTGTGTTCTTAAATCATGTGCTAAAGTAGGTGAGTTTCTCTTTTTCGTTTTCTTTTTCAATAAAAGTGGTATTCAAAATCAAGAGATAGTTGGAATCTTTAAATGGTGAATTCCAAATCAACTTGTGTTTAAGGATAGGTTAGAATAAAATGCTAAGAAATAACTGATAGAACTATTCTACAAATAGGGTGGCAAGGGTTGGTGGGCTGAAGCCTAGAGGAAGGAGGGATGGTGGCTAGGAGAAGAGAGAGATTAATCTTGATTACTGATCTTTGCCACAAGGCGTAAGCAAGTGAAGGGGAGAAATTGGTCCGTTAATTGGAAGAGCAGGAGAGAGAGTGGTAATTAGGAGAGAGCAAGGATTGAAATTGAAATTACTTCTGTAAGAAAATGTCAGAAAGAAAGGATTGAAATTGAGAGCAAGGAAGAGAGAGAGAAGGCAAACCAAAGAGCGTCCACCGATTCAATGAGGCTATCTGCACCCACGTTTCCCCAAGCCGCTCAAAAATCATGCAACCAACAAACACCCCCAGAGTTCATGAATATTACGGAGAAACCGGGCCATTTGCCCAAGCGGACAGAAGTGAAATTCCAGCAGAGCCACTGCCACCCATCAACAAAAGACCAAAACGCCCCTCAAGTTCACACAAATCACGGTATAACCGGTCCACCAGGCCTTGTTCACAAGCTATTCGTGCTTTATATATGTAAGATATACTATTGAAATAGTGTAATAGGTGATTTGTTTTGCTGTTGTTTTCCTTTTTGGATTCGCCTATTTTGCCCATAAAACCAAAAAGTATCAAATTGTATCTAGTCTAATAGATAGGTATAGGACTTGTGTAATCGAACTGATGCATGATTCATACAAAAAAGTACAATTCAGACACTAGTTCATTACTTCAATCGATAT